CATCATTTTAAAGCTTAGACGGTCTACTTTTCAAATATATTTTTTATTTTTAATAGAGTCTAATAATTTTCAAGAAATATATTATTAAATCTCGAGGCAAGTTCGCGAAGCGTACCATCGTACTTTTTTCGAACACAGAATTCAAGACCACACTTCTGAATCAGATCACAGCTCATATTGATATAGAAAAGTATAAAGCGACGCTAGAAATAATTTCTAGGATCGACCTCACAGTTGTTGGTGCAAGATATCATGAAGTCTGTCGACTGGCATTCTATTAATTGTCTGAAAAAGCTTCTGGTAAGGCTAAACCGAAGGGACGGCCCAAGGACTCAGATATTTCAGCACAGATCGAGAGAATTGTGGCTTATATTATGGAAACTGGAAGAAATGTAGCAGAGTTGACCAAAATTGGAGGTATTTATCATTATTAACCAGTTACATGATCTGAAAGTAACAAAAATATTATTCGGTTATTGATAGTGTTTAAAAAGTAAAGGGAAGTGAAGTGACAATGGTTCATATGGATTACCGAATGATAATAAAATAAATAAGTAAACAGTTGTTCAGTTTTTGGTACTTTAACCGTCTCAAGAACGGCACACCAAAAGCGAATTACTGAAAAAAACCTCACAATAAAAATTTAGGTATATTCCCGGAAGAATTAGAGGTGGAAGTAGAAATAGAGGTGGAAGAAGAGACAGAAGGGTTGCAAAGCGAGGAGGCAGAAGTACAACTGGAGGAAGAGAGAGAAAGGACGACAGGGGGAAGGATAGAAATGAAGCAAGAGGGAGTAAGCGACGAGAATACCGTTGACGATGAAGAATATGTATATGATTCTGATGACTTGGAGTGGTTGACCACACCCTAAAGGTTGTTATGTATGTTTTATATCCAACCAATTCTTCCAAATAAATGTATTTTTTCCGAAATCCTGCACCCATGTTATCCCGAAAAAAGTTTAAAAAAAAATCGTAAAAATGCGAAAAATGTTTAGAATGGTTGTATGGTGAATATTCACCACGCTCTAAAAGTTGTCATTTGCTTTTAGCCAAAACAACGAGATTCAAGACCTTGGCACAAGGAAAAATATATTTTTGCAATTTTCTGGTAAATTTAACTCAAATTGCACAGAACAGTCGCTAATACAATTGAGAGCCCAAGCGCTACTTTGCAGAAAAAATCAGGTGAAATCCGCCAGTAATTGTGGAATAATCGATTATTTCCGAGATTTTCATTTACGGACTCCGTAATTTAGCGAGAAGAGCAAAGGTGCTGGCGCCATCTGCAATTCTTCTCTAAAGTCCAAAAGATGAAGATCAATGCATATCTATTCAATATGAAAATTATGGATTTTGCAAAAAATATTGGCATTGCGAAAAAATTGGTAGGGATCGTTTTTGTAGAGAATGAGCTGATCTTAATTTTTTATCTGAACAAACATTCTCTAATTGGCATATTTAGCCAGATATTAGCGGGAAACCCGTTTTTCAGAGTTTAGGGGTCCATTTTCAGCTTTTTCCGGTACCAAGAACGCGTTAAGTATTTTCTCATTTAAAAACACCTGCGATGACCTACAAATTGAGCTACGTGGAAACTCATCAGCGATTTTTTACAGCTTTCGATCTTTTCAGTCCTTCATTTACTTCGTTTACAATCTATAATTATTGTACATACTGTTTTTCAAATAATATACGTTTTTTAAAACGTCCTATGGTTTATAATAGTAAATATAGTTAACAATATACGGCTACTCTTAGTTTGCGATGAAGGATTTATAGACACTGGACCTAAATATACGTTTAGGTTTATTTAATTTAAATTTGTATAAATTTATGTAATATATTTCTCGTTTAAATTTCGCCTTGGTTGATTTCTTAAACGTTTAACATCTACTATTTTTATACTTGACGTTTTTTAACGAATAAATTAAACGGTTATTTTTCTCTGTAGATACCATGGTGGAAGAATACAGGTGAAGCGGTAAGCGGTACGAAATTTGGTCATTCTTGCGCATGACGTCACCTGCGGAGCATATTTTTGTTTTGCCTATGTCTCCAATGTTAAAAAGCGACTTTTAAAGTTATTCTAATATTTTCCTGGTAGTGTTTAGAAGTTTATAGATATATTTATCTTAATATTTAATATCATTTCTATATATCAATAGGCCTGTTTAGAAATTATTGGTACGTATTATTAAATTAATTTCTAATTAAGTTGGTAGTGTAATTGATATAAAGTTAGGTTATGTAACATTTTTGTTGTATTTTAAAGATAAAAGAAATAGTTTATATTCATTATTGTTATTTTAATATATCATTATTATTATTATATTATTGATACATTAAAATCTACTATATTTTAGGGTGTGTAGTTACTAACAAAATGCCAGGTTGTGCAGTGTTTGGCAGCAAGAACTATTTAAGAAAAACAAAGAGAACAAATATTAAGTATTTTGGATTTCCGAAAACAGATATAGCCAAAGCCTGGGTCAACGGTTGAGGGTGAAAAGATACAATTAATTTGAAAAATGGTATGATTTTTGCAAACCTAACTTGAATATGATTAATTTTATGTCTTGTTTCTTTTTTAAGCTTGTATTTGTTCTATACATTTTTCGAAGGATAGTTTTGAAATACCCTTACAACAGAGGCTATTAAACTACTCCACTAAGACTGGTAGAAACTTAAAACAAACAGCAGTTCCTACTGAAAATCTCCCATTGAAAAAAAGACAATTGTCTGCAGAAAGTGAAGATAGATTAAGAAGGCAGGCAAAAAGATATCGACAAACATTTATTGAGAGCTTTGTTAATATTTCGGGGCATTCCAGACAATTGTCAACTGCAGACCAGGACAAGGAGAATCAAAGTTTGGAAACAGACACTCAAAATATATTGGTATCATCAGAACTAGAAACGTATGTACAAATTTACCTTATTAACAAAAAATGTGGCTTTGAAAAGAAAATTAAAGTGTTAAGCAAGATAAAGAAGTAAACATTATGTATAAACCATTTTTAAACATAAATAAATCAATTTAAAATAACACCTCTGTGCTTTTTATTAAAATAAAGTATGTTTTGCCAAGTGTTTCTATTTATTAAATACATAAAGGGGTTTACCAGCACCCAACCATACAAGAAAGTAATTGATCTGTACATACAAGTTATTGATATCCATGTTTGATGACTAATTTAAAATTAAATTATTACATTTATAATCTATAAAAGTGACCACATACTTCCAAACTGATTATTTAAGAAAATTGGCGACTAAAAAAATATACTGATCATAATAAAATTCATTTCACCTTAATTTTATTGTTCAGCATTCGTTAACATTATACACAAGTTTACTTGAATCGATTCAAAATTATTTATTGTTGAAGAATTAATTACATTCTTATTAACAAAGATAGATAACATAAGTTAAAATTCAAAGGAAAAGAAACAAAATACTTATTCATAAATGAAATTTTTTATTTTAAAATTTTTTAAATTCTAATATCAAGACAAAATATAATATAAAAACAAAAATGCAACCTAAGTACAAATATGACAATCGAGAAATATATATACAGGAGTATACACATAAATTAAAATGAACTACTTAATTCAAGGAATCAGAAAAATTTATCCACTTTGTAGTATACCTTTTTGAGCAAGAGTTTCTTGCTTTTTAAACATATTTATGAGTCAGCACTTCCTATTATTAATTAATTGGCAAGAGGTTAAACATTTTTCCACTATACAGGGGACACTACATATTTCAGTTTCACATTCTTGATCTCAATCTATCAGATAGCAATGCTAGGTATGAAGATTTAAATCCTAGATGTAACATCCTCTTCCAAGTTTTGTGATGGAAAAATTCAGTTTCTGATGAACACTATCTTTTTTACGCCAGAGAGAAACTATATTAGGCTAAATTCCTTACACCATGGCTAAATTCGAAATAAATTACCTACTTTTTTTGTATAAAAGCACAAAATATTTTTTTTATTTGGCATTACTTTTGTACAAGCGTCTATCTGCCTATAGTGACTTTTCTTGTAAGTATTATTGAGCATAACTTGATGTTATTTGACGCAGTTGTTATTTTCTTCTAAATATATTTTCAGTTTTATAATGATTATAGAACTAGGAAATAAAAATTAAACTTCTTGACAATCATTACAAAATGTAAACAAAGCCATGGAATGGCATGGCAGTGTATAGGCGGCCGTGGCAATACCGATGTTGACGTCATAAAACCTGCGCACCGCTTCACCTGTATCCTTACACCATGTGTAGATACTAGTTATTGTTAATTATACTAAATATAATTCACCTCATAAGCATATTTCCAGTTTGCGATGAACTAGTTAGTAGACAGAAGTATACATTTAGGTTTATTTAAATTAAAAATTTATTGGTATATTTATTTATATCACATCCATATTTTTTTTATTATATCAAAAATAATATTTATAACAAATTCCCCATACACATAGAAATACTTCATAAAGCGGAATGAGGGATGCATACTAGGGGTACGGTCTTTTCTCATTTCTACTCTTGTGTATGTATATTGAACAGAGCTGGACAGTACTCGAGTAAATTGTACTTAAAATTGTACTCGAGTACTCAAAGTAATCAGTAATTGGTACTCGTAAGTACTTTGATCCTGATAGGACTCTTACTTGAAAAATTTCGAATACTTTACGTATTAGAGTACTCAATACTTCTGGTTCCTACAGCTGATGAGTAACGAGTATGAATACCGACGCGCGCATATATTATAATGGTTCCACCCCGGAAAGGTTAAACTATTCCGATATCCTAGAGCTTCTAGGGTTGAGGTTCCTTTAGCTTCTTTCAAAAATTGGCCGCACCCTATAGTCCGCTTGTCGGACGTTTCTGTTGCGAGGTGTATTATTATAGGTCTGTTCTGGTTTTGAGAAGTAACGATCCACAACTGTCGAGTCATGCGCAGTAGTTATTTTTTCTTGGACTACTTCTTATTTCTCAGTCCAGTGTTCTGGTTTCGTGTCCGAAATAATCCGTGATGACCAAATATCGGAGCTTGATACACTTAGTAAAATACTTACTGTTGGTAACAACTTATAATCCAAATCTATAACTTTAAACAGCGAAAAGGAGACAGGTTTAGTACTTTGTCTTAACATCATTAGTAAGGCTTTTTTGCTGCGATTATCCCATTTATACCAATCAGTATTATAAATCGTTTGGCATATTTTTTCAGTCTAAAAAAGTTTAATTTCATTTTAAACGGGTCAATCTGTATACGAGCTACTTACCGCGTCTTTAATTTCTTGTCCAGATTGGAAAAATTTTCCAGTTATGTAAAATGTAAACATTAGAGTCACAACGAATCTGAAATTGCTTCTGGGACTGATTTCCTAAAAAAAGAAATTAAAAATCTGCAGAAGTTCTCGAACTGTAGATTGTACTTACTAGTCCTGACACATAAAAATAATTATCACTTACCGCTAGAATGAAATATATCGACGAAATTTGTAAAAAAACCGTTTCTACAAATAATATTGGTAATAAAGCCCCACGTTTTGGATTGCTTATTAAAAGATCTTTGGACAAACTGTAAAAAAATAGTATTGAATTAGAAAAGACCGTAAATTTTATGAAACTTGAACAGTAATTGATTAATTAGAACTATACTTACATTATTAAATTAATATGACTTTTAACACAGTCAATAATATTTTTATAATTGAGCTCAAAATTAAACTCATCTTTTAAATTTTCTATCATTTCATTTAGGATCATGTACTGATAATAAACAACTTTATTCATTTTCATCAATGCAAGTGGGAATTCTAATGCGTAGTATCCAAATATATTTAAAATATAAATATCAAACCAATATAGCAATTGTCGAACAAATCCATCTGTATAATCAGTCATTAATTGGGTCGATATATATATGTCATATTCGTCTCCTATAAATGGTATGAAAGTTAAAATTCCAAGTGAAGTAAATATGTGAGCCAATCTAGCAGCAGTTTCTTCTGAATTCACTTGTTTCTTTATTTCTAATTGTAATTTTTTACTTGCTTTACGAATAGGTATGCCATATTGACCAATCACATTATTATTAACAAATTGGTCGTTAAATTTGTCTTGAAAATAAGTACAAGTCAGGCCCTAAAATTTTTAAATACGGTCAGTAACTTGAGTTCATTGAGTAATAATTGACATTGACATTAAACCAAAGAATTAGTTAAGGGTAATAAGTTAACATTCTTAAAAATAATAATTAACCTGTTACATACATTTTGATTTAAATAGATAGCCGATAGTCGACAGAAGCAAGTGGATCAAGCGCGAAACTTTGGCTGTAAGGCCGCTTTAATAGTGACAGCGCCTTCGGGATATGTTTTTGTAGCGACTGTGTATCAGAGAAAAGCGTAAATATTTTAAATTATTTTAACATGCTTGTTTTATGTTTGTTGTTTGGTTTTGTTTTGAGACAAAGGACCTCGCAGTTTCCCTATGGCAAAAGGCGTTTGGTCAAATCTGCTGAATTTTATATTATGTTGCAGTTTTTGACTTACTGATTAAAAGTGCCCATGGACACAAAGATTTTGAGATACAGGATGTTTAACTTCTCATAATTTTCAAGAATACTTTGTTGTTATTTTACTAATATTCAAAAATGTTAAAAGTTACGGTTTAACTCTCTAAAATACTTGTGACTACATTAATCTTTTTGGAAAACAACTGTTACGGTTTTAATTGAGCGTTAAGACTATAATATAGGTTTTGTTCGTCCATAAAGTATTTTTTTTACCTATATTTGCTTAAAATAAAACTTATCCGACTAGTCAAAGTTTTCATGCATTCAGAATTCACCCTGTAATCACTGTATACATTCACACAACACACATTTATATTATCCAATTCTCAGAGTTTGAAATTATAGGGATTTTATACTTAATATATTTTTACAAGAATTAAAATATGTTCCTACACAAATAGGCCTAGGTAAACTCGTTTTATGAAACCTTCTTTGTGCAAATTGTATTATTTATGCTAAAATTTTCCTTTAATATCAATCCTTGTTGTGGTAATTTTTACAAGAACTCGACACCAATCTTTGTGGTAAATAAACTTTACAAACAGCACATTTCGTTAACTGAATCATTATTTAATTGCCGTGGATATTCTTAATAATTTTCACTAGCACTACACCTCAATTTATACTTGTTTAGATCAGTTTTATATTCGTCGGACATCGAATGTCAAATAAATGGGGTTATATTTGTATCTGTGAGTGACTGCTGGACAGCTGTCAGATTATAAATAAGTACTACAGAAGGCGAGTTCGGTCAGTCAGGGGCTGGAGCGGGACAAATTTTAGGGTGCTTTTAAATGACATTTAAGCGTGTTAAACTGTCACTAATCGGACTAAACCGAACGCTAAAAGAGTCGTTTGGAGTTAAAAGTGTTAAAGGAGTTAAAGGAACGTGGCAAACCGAACGCAATGAGAAAGTGGTAAAAGCTGTTCGTAGTTCCGAGAGTTTATTTTGACGTTTCGTTGTCTAGGATTTCTATTGGGTATTACAGGGATACCAGCATGATAGTTAGTTTTATTTTCAAAATCGTAAGAGCTTATTGGCGACACAGCAGAGCCATTCTTGAATCGTATTTGTTCGGAAGTGACAATTGGTTGAAGTAGGTTTTATGTACGGCGATTCTGCGCGATCGAGGTTTCGTCTTCGTGTCTTCTGAGAAGAAGTCATATTGGTAATTTGAACTGAAAATTCGTGAAGAGATGTTTTTGTAAAATTGAATCGTGTTAACGTGGATTTGAGCCCGTTATTTTGGTGATTATAATATATCGGCTTTTTAACTCGTGCTCGAGGAGAATTGGATTTGAAGTTCAGCCCATTGGTAGATGTATTAGCAGTCTCATATTGAAGGCCGATCGTAGTGCAGACCGTAGATTGAAGGGAACACAGATTTTAAGAAGGTTTTAGCAGATTTTCCCTACGTTTTGATTGAAGTTAAACCCTCTGGGATAAGAGGTAGGTTTTGTTTTTTTTTATAGTGTAATTTGTCCTATAAATATTGCTTTCATTCATTGTAAATAATAGACATTCTTTCAGGCAGTAAATTAGGAGGTTAAATGTGGGATACAGTTTTTGCTGTATTGAATTTTGCTAATTAAATTTTAATTGGGTACTTTTTTGTATTACTTCAATAGTCCTTGTTCTGGCAGGCCCTAATTTCAACCCTCTGGGTGGCTTAAGATTTCACTTTTACTTTTTATTGTCTTGAATTAAAAGATAACTGGGTGGGATCAAATTAAGTTACATCATTCTGAATAGGGATTGTATATTTTAGGGTTTTTGTATCCAGTCTTTGGACCCGGTTTTTGGGACCAGTGATTGAAATCGGGGTAAGGGGAATGATGAAGTGTTTTTATTTCAGTTTGTAAATAAATAAGATCTAAGTAAAGGTTGTCTTTTTGTTTCCTATTTATTTGGTAGATTTAAAAGTAGGACTTTTCTGGATTTAAAAAGGCTCAATATTAAAGATCTACCTGGCGTCCAAAAATTTAGTATTTTTCCCAGATTACAAACCTACTCCCATCTCCACTAGAGTGAACCGGAGCCACAAGGTTGACAACCAAACTTTTGTGTTACGTTAATCTGACGTTACACAACTATACTAGGTGAGTAATTTTTCAAATTAAATTAGAAAAACTGCATATTTAAAAAATCGTTCAACGCCATCTCGTATTTTCGCCGCTCGCGCCGCCATATTGGAAAAATGGTGCATTTTAAAGCAGTTTTTGACAATTATTTCTTTTCGATTCATTTCACGATAAAAACATTTATAATATACAAAATGAACATTGAGAAAATTTCCTACAATTTTTGCAAAAACTACATTGTTGAACTACATTTTGCGGCGTTCATACGCCAAAACTATTGATTTTACATACATTGTAGGAAATTTTCTTTAATTTCATTTTATATAGTGTATGTCCAATTAAGTCGGAACCACATGTGAAACTTTTTTAATCTTAGTTTTATGAAAAAAAAAAGCAATTCTTTATAAAAAGTTCTGCATGGTCTAAAAGTTGAAATACAGTTATCAGATATCAAATTTTTTGAGCTGTATACAAAGTTTGTCAAAAAATATGATTTTACTCAAGAGTAAAGTACCATTATTCTTTATACGACTCATAAAATTTGATTTTGATGGTTGTATTTTAGGATTTAGACCATGCTCGACTTTTTATAATGAATTATTTTTTCCCAATAATAATAAAAAAGTTTTTCATATGCCGCCAATTTACGTAGTCAGTTTATTTTTCCTGGAATTCAAAAAAACCGTTAAATTGCACTTCGAGGGCCACAAGGCAGGACCTCGTAAGTCGCAAAATCAACATTTTTTAGAAGATAAAAAAGTGCATAGAACAATCCATGTTTTGTTCAAAAATTGTAATACTTCCCCCTCCACCTCTCCTATACAGTATATGGAGCTAAATGTTTTAAACTAGATTATAATAAAATATAATTTTCATTAGAAAAATTAGTTTGCGTTGTGGCCCTCGATTTGATGTTGTCACAGATCAGGGCTGGCTTCCAATTTTGTGAAAGATTTTTAAATTCGGTGATACAATGTACTGAATAAATAATAAAATATATTGTTGTTCTTATGTTTATTATAAATTATTTATACGGGGTGGATTATGTTGATTATAAAGAGAGTAACTGAAGTATCTTTGAAAAAATTCTTCTGATTTTAGAACATAGATATTTTACAATATACCTATCCTGTATATCGTAATGTATCCTAAACATGTACAACATCACATTAACAGAAATATCTTAAAATCTAGTCATAGGATAACTTTGTGCTCATGGACAAAACCGCAACATACATAAATTTCAGCAGATTCAACCGAAAGCCATTAGCAATAAGGAAACTATGTAGTCCTTTACATTTTTTTGTCAGTATGGGAACTATTTTTCTTTAATAAATTCCTTGGATATTCACAAAAAATTTAAAAAATATCCTCTACGATTGCCCGATGCTCTCATTTATTAGAAGACTTGTGTTCGGCGAGTATCGGCTATTCTACTACCGACCGATATAAGAGAAGCGCCTCTTGGCGACATTGTCAAGTACATTCATTCTAGGAGGATGCACAATGGGCGACCTAGTGAGGCCTAAGTGCCGTGAGGTAACCCACCCGCCATACGTTATAGTTACAGATACAGATACTTAGTACGCCATTGGAGAACCAAACTGTCAAACGAAGTATATACTGGCTTCAAACATTACTTATGTCAAAAGTCTCGCGTTACATATCTATTTCATTTATTTATCTGTTGTTTATCTGAGTACCAAATTTATAGAGACCTACGTTTATGCATGTAACAGGATCTTTCTGTATCTGTGTTTTTTTTGTATGTAAAATTTATTAACTCACTGTCTCGACTATTAAGAGTGTACTAATGGTATGAGAAATACGTTTTGGGTTGTACAATAAGTACACAATAGATATGCATATTGATATTTGCTTCGGAAAAATAGCAACATAAATTGCAATTTTTTTAAGTATCCGCAAATATGTTTTCAAAATAACAACTTCGTTGGCATCTGAAAAAGATTTGCAATAATTATTTGTAAGTGAAATAAATTTTTAAACACTCTTACCTAACGAAATGTGACTCTTTATGTGTTCCATGATATGGAAATACAACTTTAGGTATTTATTATTGAATATTAAAAAAAAAATTTGTATCATTACTTTTTATACTTACCTAGGTTTTTAATGGTTATTTTTTTAATGAAGATTTTTTAATATTAGACACTAACTGCATTTTTATGGCCATATACCATATATATTTATTTATTCAATTAGTATGATTAAATATGTTCCTTTTTTTGTTAAAAATCGTTAAGAGTGAAAAGCAGTCATTAACAAGATGTATTAGTCAAAAAAGTTTTTTTACTATTATTTTTTACAATTTTTTGCGATGCAATTAGCAATGGCCCTGGGCCCCACAGGTTAGGTAAATTAGTTGAGATTCTTTATTTTCTTTAATTTTATTTATCTATTTTCGATAAATTTTCTTTTCGACCATTGTTCTTTTTTATCATTGTTCTTTTCGATTAAATGCATTCAATCAAATGTATTCGATCAAATGTTTCCGATCAATTTTGTGCCTCCCTACTCACACAAGAATCAACTAGAAAATTTCGCCGCTCGTCTCACTTCAGCGACATCCGTTTAACAAAAAAGATGAGGTGAAGTCGACATCCCATCAAAGTTCTGTTAACCTGGATGTGCTAACATGTAGTTTCTATGTAATATGTAAAATGAAAGCAATCTAATTAAGGGCATTGTTAATTCTTGGAGAGTTTGCTCTGCCCATCTTTAAATTGGGGTTACACTGCACTAGATATCCTCCTCTCAGGCGATTTGTGATTAGATTGCCTTTTATTTTCAGTACGTCCCAATTTCTATATGATGTAATGCTATTTTCTGTTATTTTAGCTTCAACAAACTTTGTACAATGTATATTATTAGCCTCGATATAGTTATTGACAAGACGTTTTCATTTAGAGTAGCTATTGATGTTTGAATATTAGAAATTAATTACTAACGTAAACGTGCTGTGCGTTATTTCCTTGGTTAATTGGTTCTGTGGCAGAAGTATATGCCGGGGATTCCATATCAAAGATCAAGATATAGACTCTGTTTCCTGAGAACATGGCAATTGTGTTAATGTTTACAAATATTTTTCTGAGTTTTAATAATAGTTCATTTCTGTTGTGTTCTACAGGCATAATCGTGTACAGTAATTGGTTCATGTATGCGTTTTTTTTAAAGTTCTGGATTAATTTCTCTTGACTTCTTGTTCAAAGATTTAATTGAGTCATTTGGAATACCATCAATGGGTTTTGTTGGTCGTTTACGGCATTTGTAAGACCACGCACGGTGATCTTTTACTTTGCAACTTGGAGATTTGAGTGGAAATGTTGAAGTGCATTTATTTAGTGGGTAATTTCCAAGGCACTTTGGACAAATTTGTGTATTTTTAAATCTCTGTTGTATGGGTACATTCTTGGATTTGCTACATGGTTGTGATACTGGCTCTGGAGCTTTGCTAGGGTAGACTAGATAGTGTTGATAATGATAATGTAGGCCATGATATAGAAGAATTTCAGAGGTGATTTGTGATCCTATAATAATCCTTATTATTGTTGTGGGTTTTGCATTGCTTTTGGCTATTATTTTTCTGCAATAACTATGTTCTAGATTAAGATTTGTGAGGTGTCTGCTAGTTGAATTTTCTCCTGCTCTAACCTGGTGATTAAAACAGAGTAAGAGAGGAGTGTTGAAGAAGTAGGAGGTTTTGTATTAGGGTTGCTTAAAATCTTGCTTAAATATCGAAAAGATAAGAAAAATAAAAAACATATTCATCTAACCAATTTAATAATGATTATAAATAACAATTAAACAAAGTATTATGCAGCAGGTAATCGAAATTATTTGATAGAACTATCTCAGCCTTCTGATTTGTGCTGGTGCAATTCACTGTATCTATATAGATGTATGTACTATTACATTTATGTCAAGCTTTTTAATGCAAATTACATGGTATATAACATGAAGAAAATTCAATCTAGTCGTCTCATAAGAGTTATAACGCCATAAACTCCTCGGAACAACTGAAAAATTAAAAATAAAAAGTTATCAACAAAAATGTTTCTAAGGTAGGCCATGACCGATACGAACTAAATCCATAAAAAGTATAATTATACGCTCCGAAATGCGTCAATTTTTCCAAGGCCTACTTTAGAAACATTTGTGGATCACTCCATAGTTTAGTTATTAATTAAGAGTTAATAATAAACAGCTAATTACCCTTTCGAAATACTGAAAATTATTAATCAACCCCAAAAAGGTGAAAACACATTTTTAGAAAAATGTCCCTAGCGGGACTCGAACCAACCGGTTTGTATATTAGACACCGATTCGGCTATTGTCTTCTGAATTGTTAAATTGAATAAACTCTTTGTGAGGGCCGCCAAAAGTACTCTAAATGCAAATGGCGGGGGGCCGCCTTCCACTGGTTATTAGGTCTCCAAAGTAACGTATGTACCACAATATACCGCCTGTAGTAATATCACCGTGCTACAAGAAATAGCTGTGAGTTAAGCAGCGGCCAGTCACCAAGGTTATGGCACTAGTATCATTTTGCAGAAATTTAAAACGTCTGACATCGGCAATTAATTGTCTGATAACGAATTCAAGACAATCTGACAGAAGAGTTACGCCCAGCCACTTCTCTTTGTTACGATACTTCTTGCAGACGATACTACACTTTTGAATTCTCACAAAGATATCGGCGCTCTTGAACAGTTCAGTAAAATGGCAGTTCCTAAGGCTGGGGAATAGTTTACTACAAGCAAATTAAATCTTAATAAGGAAAAACCAAATCTTTAAGATCTAGTACTAACCTGAAATATGGTAACGCAAATTGTGCCACTCTTCTGGGAATAACACTTGAAAACGGTCTAAAGTGGTACACCCACATTAAAAAGTTAGCAAAAAAACTAAGTTCTCAAATATTCCTACTTAGAAATTAAAAAAAAAAAAAAAAAAAAAACTGTAAACGTTGACACTGTTTTGATGGCTTACCATTCCCTATTTCACAATTATCTTACTTATGGTATAATAAATACTATGGGGGAATGCATCGAATGCCGTACGAATCTTTCGGCTTCAAAAAAGCCATCCGAATTTTAACTGGCAGCCATTTTAGAGACTCTTGTCGACCTTTATTTAGTCTCTAAATATCTTACCATTGCCCTGTATATATATATATATTATGCACACTGTCTTGGAAATCCACAAACTAAAAGATATTATACTCTTAAATTCTTATTACCACAACTATCCCACCAGGGGTAGTGATTTAATTAGAACGACACGTTTTCGATTGGCAGTATCGAAAAAGAACTCATTAGATGTTCAACTGTATATTAAAATTCCAGTAAACTTAAAAAATGAATATTTTTTAGCTTTTAAACGTAATGTTAAAAGTTACTTACATTAGCACTGTTCTTACAATATCAGTGAATATTTGAATAGTCAATGGCGTTACTAGACTGATCTGCGTTTTAATAATTAAATTCGGATCAATGTATTATTGGCGGTCAACAATTTCACTTTCGAATCATTTTTCATTCGTATGTTTTTGACAAGCGTGAAGCATCAGTACTGATTGACAAGTAACAATTTTCGCGATTGTTTCTGGTCCAGAAAAATTGATTACGATTTATTAATATTAGTTTTGTTTTAGTGATACTCGTATTTATTGTGTTTTGTGTTGTTGTATTAAGTGCTTACTCATGCTGCACTTGAATATCTACATCGGATGCATCTGTGATGTTGTGAATTTTTTATCACGTGATAAAGGATTAGATCTAAATGAATATGTAATAAACTCCGAGCTTAGTAATTGCTCGGAGGTAATAAACAAACGCTCTAGACTTTATTGGTCACGTGATAAAATGACAAGTTAGAAGTTTATACTTTTTGCAATTGACTTTTGAGGCTACAAATCAACCTAAATTTGAAATCTAAACTAAAATTAAACAAACTAATCACTATAGGTGTTATTATTATTTAACAATTGTTCCGCCAGTAATTGATGTCATGACGTCACTGAGTAAGTTCTGGTGGAAGCTATTTACGCTGAAAATAAGAACGAACGACATTTCTCGAATGAAAAATTTAACGTTTGACATCGCTTTAAAAATTAAACCCGTTTTAATTTAAATTAACAGCAATTTATCCCTTCTGTAGCCGTTTTATATTTAAACTCTTATATTGTATGTAAACTGTTATCTAAATAATCGTGTTCACTCTTTCAAACAAATTGATTAACTATCCCCTTCATTCATCCATCACATATCCATCGGGTTTTAAAGCCGATGGATGCGCTGACTCATTGGTGAATTCACCGCTGGAGAAAAGAACGATTGGCACATACAATTGTCTTTCCATCGCTTAATTTAAAAACGGTTTGCTGAAAGCGCTGGATACAGCGCTGAATAAAAGAACACACTTTTTTATATTCACAATAGCCTAAACAAAGAATAAATCGTTAAACTTGGCTTCACATAACATTTAGGTACTTTCTGGCATGTAACGAACATCACATTTCAAATCGAGATGTAAAAAATGTAATCTGGTCAGCTACATCTCGGATAAAAAAACGCAGATGTAGATGTAGTAGATGTATCCGATGTGAATAAACAAACGTTAATATGAAAAGCCAGCGTACAATAAACTCAAAAAGAGGAGGATGTACCGATGGAATAAGTAGCCATATTGTTTACCAAACCCCATAATTTAGATTTTTAGATATTTTATCTTTGTTATTACTTTATTTGATTTATTGAAAATATCAGAGTTTTTTGTACTCTTTTGTAAAATAGTTGTATACTTACTGATGGTACCAACTTATAATCCAAATCTATAGCTTTAAACACCGAAAAAGAGACAGGTCTAGCACATTGTCTTAACATCATCAGTAAGGCTTTTTTGCTAGGATCATCCCATTTGTACCAATCAGTATTATAAATGGTTTGACATATTTGTTCAGACTAAAAAAGTATAATTTAAATCTAAATAGACCAATCCATATACCAACTAGTTACTGCGTCTTTAATTTCTTGTCCAGATTGAATAAATTTTCCAGTAATGTAAAATGTAAATATTAAAGTCACAATGAATCTGAAATTGCTTCTGGGACTGATTTCCTAAAAACAAATTAAATATCCACAGGGTTTCTCGAACTGTAAATTATACTTACTAGTATCGATACATAAAAATAACTATTACTTACCGCTAAAATGAAATATACCGACGAAATTTGTAAAAAAACAGTTTCTGCAAGTAATATTGGTAATACAGTCCCAAATTTTGAATTGCTTATTAAAAGGTGTTCGGACAATCTGCAACAAATTGGTAATAAATTAGAAAAGGCCATACATTTAATGTAGGATTCATACTTACATTGTTAAATTAATATGACTTTTAATGCAATCAATAATATTTTTATAATTGAGCTCAAAATTAAACTCGTATTTTAAATTTTCTATCATTTCATTTAAGATCATGTACTGATAATAAATCACTCTATTCCTTTTAATTAATATAAGTGGGAACTCTAATGCGTAGTATCCAAATAGATTTATGATATAAATATCATACCAATACAGCAATTGTCGAATAAATCCATCACTATAATCTGTCATTAATCGTATCGAAATAGTTATATCATATTCGTCTCCTATAAACGGCATAAAAGTTAAAATTCCAACTGAAGTCAATACATGAGCAAATTTGGCAGCAGATTTTTCTAAATCCATATGTTTCTTTATTTTCGTTTGTAATTTCTTACTTGCTTTATGAATGGGTATGCTATATTGAGCAATTACATGATTATTAACAAATTGATCCTTAAATTTGTCTTGAAAATAAGTACAAGTCAGGCCCTAAAAGTTTTTAAATGTGGTCAGTAAATTAAATCGAAATATCAATGAGTAAAAAGGTGAATATTAATTTATATTGTCAAATAATATATTTTGAGTTCATGTACTATAGGTAAAATAGATAAATCTCATAAAATTTAATTATTATTTTTATTTTTCACGTTCATGTTTAGTTTATTTTAAGATATCATTTCAGGTTTCTTAATTAGTTGATATTTTTATGGAAATTCGTTGAACTTGCAAAGACAGCAGTAAACGCGGTTCAACGAATTACCTGATCAAGCAAAAGTGCATGAATACGAACATTCTTTATAAAATATTAGAAATAAATAATTACTGGGTTTTGAAGAGCGACACGGGTACCATACATCTCAGAATAATGTACCCTTGGTGCTAGTTAATGTATAATTTTTATTTTTACTATCAATCAATGAAGACTGTCTTTTTACATTAATACTTTACTTATTTAGTGAATATATAATTTTAATTAATATTATGTTTTATTAAAAGTTCTACTACCTAGCTACAATTAACCCCTCAGCTCGTTTAGGGAACAATAGATAAACCTAAACGCGGCAATGTGAAAGCCACTTTGGATGGATATGGTAAGAAAAGTATGTTAAAATAAAGAAAGAAAAAAAAAAGAAAAGGAAAAAAGGCTGAAAAACAAATTTTAGAGTTAATAAATTATTAGTACATGAATTCGTTTAGTTTAAAAGAAAAAATTAATTAAAACATTAATAGGAAACTTTAATATGTATTCATACACATTTGGAATTAAAATGACAAATTAAAAAACAATTTGGAAAGGTTATAAAGAAGTCTTAAATAAATGCTATTTAAAAAAACGTAACATTAAATTAGAAAAATTATCTTGATGCAGACATTTTTTACATTTTTTTTATCTCGATTGTTAATCGCCCTTATTAATACACTTGTTCGTTAAATAACCATTATTTTTGGTTCATTTTGAAATATTCCTCCAGGGCTGGTATATCTAAGGGAGTCGCGACATAGGAGTCAATTTTGGATGCCATTTTTTTCGAAATAGTAGTCGCCCATTGATCTGGCAACGTAGCAACCTGTAGTCGCCAGGCTTACCAATATAAGAAAAAAATCAATGTTTTTTTAAATGACATTGGGGTCTATTCTGTAACAATTCCTTTATATTTAACGGCCTTTAAAAATATTTTCTTCTTTACTTCTGTCATTATTTAAACGGATCTTTAAAATACATTAGAGGACTATCTTAAAGACATCTGTTTAAATAATGACAGAAGTAAATTAACGAATACGAACATATTTTTATAGGCCGCCAATATTTTTAAAGGCCGTTAAATATAAAAGAATTGTTACAATTCAGATCCCATTTTCATTATAAAATACCCATATTTTTTAGGTTAAAATATCTTAATTTCATAAATTATTAATAATCTTACATGTACATAGAATACGTCGTGAAAAGTAGATCACTTTCAATTTTGTGCTGTTTTGGTTTATTTTAAAAGGTAATTGAGGATATGATATATAGATGGGGATGCATAATAACAAATTATGGCTCCCTTTTTTAGAGCTCCAGTCCCCTAAGTCTATTTATTTTAGGTCTTTTTAAATTGTTGGTGGGTATTATTCACTTCATTTTTATGTTTTTATTTAATTTAAATAATTTTGTGTAATATCTTGCGATTTATTTTCTATACATTTTAGTATGTATTTGTAGGCTACATCTTACAAAGGATGGCTTTGAAATACCTTTACAACAGAGGTAGGTACTTTCCTAAAACTGGCCGAAATTTGAAACTGAATACAGTTCTTAGAGAAAATCTCCAGTAAAAAATGTCTGCATGCAGAATAACAGTAGCATAGATTAACAAAGCTGACAAAAGAGTTGGACAAACCTTTGTGAAGCTTTTTTAATATTTCAGGACAATAGTGTTAACAGCAGACCACAACAATAACAAGCAAAGTTTAGTAATCAAGGAAAATATTTCAGTATCTCCTGAATTATGTGTATGGCTACGAATAGGAAATTACCCAAATTAACATATCTAGTGAATATTGTATTTAAAGAATATATTTTTAATCAAAACTTTTGTGCTTCTACTCCAATACTAACCATATTACCATATAGAAATGCATATGCATTTTATAGCAAGATTCGGATCAAATGTACTCACAATTTATAAATATTATTAAACTAAAGTAAAACATTTCAAATAACACCTGTTTTTTATTTAAATAAAACATGTTAAATATATGTTTTTATTAAATAAATAAATTAGTCTCAACCACACATTTTTTTTTGTTTTTACTTCTAGTGTAAAAGTGACTACTAATTCACAGTCTTTCAAGTTTATTATTTAAAGAGACCAGCTACTACAAAATATTCTATTGATGATAACTAATTTCTCTTTAATAATGGTTTTGCATTTATCAACATTTTACAGCACTTTGTTTATATGAAACATCTATTTAGCTCTTAATTAAATCACATTTAAATCAAGTAATTACATTTTCATATTCAACTTGTATGTATTCTTAATAGAACTTAGTCACTTTTTTTTTTATTTGAATTTTTGACTGTGGTAACTGAGCCCATTCACCAAATCACAAACTTAGTCACTTAAAAATGTTGAAAGAGAATGTTATAAAGGTAAAAATTCCTTCTTCTATAATGTTTTCCATGCAATTTTAGGTTGCAAACGGTTTGTCCAACACCCTTTTTACAATTTATCCCAAGGAACACTATGAAAGATTTAAATCCTGGATTTACAGCATTCAGTTTTGAGATAAGTGCAGCCACAATGCAGTTGCAGAGATAATTTTTACATGAACACTTATTTACCACAGCACAAACGCATGTACCTATTCATATGTAACATTAAAATAAAGTGGAAACAAATTGCATAATTCGGTATATAAAAAAGTACAAAAAACTACGAGGAAAACAGTGGTTCATTCCACTTGTACCATATTGACATTATTTTGAACGATGCCGGACAAACGATAACCGTGGATTTCGCCAAACGAACATCAGAAAAGTGTTGCCAACTTAAGCTGACTACTATTTTCCCCCTAGCCTCAGTCACCCCCTCATCCATTTACTGGGTCTATGTCGCGACCCCCTTAGATATACCAGCCCTGTATTCCACAAGATATTAGCTAGTACTTTGACAATAAATATTTGACAGTAACCGTTGTTAAATATTACACCTAAAATCAAGTATGCGAGTTGCTGTCAACATAGATGCACTACACGGGGCAAGAGAGAGGTCCGACACGCCCAACATAGGGCGCGGCCATTTTGAACCCTATGACACAGTTTATAGCTAAAGAATCAGATCGCTCACTCTGCGTCGGCACTTTTTATCTCAATGTTCCAGTTTATACACTTCGCAACTCAGATAATACAATATATGACAATCGCCTATAATAAAACAGCAGTCTTCTGCGTATCCTGAATTTGTAAGTCGATATATGAATCGATATGATATAGTCAGTGAAGATCACATATGTACTTCGATTTGTGGTGAAGATAGTTGATTTAAGTATTTTGTTCTGATAGGTTCTAATCTTAGATGTTCTAATGAGGTTCTAACACTGATCTGGATAGGATATAGGCTATATAAAACATACTAAAAAATCGTTCCACCAAGGAGACCGGAAGTGCAACAATGCTGGCCGATTTGGGCAAATTATGGTGGGTTCACAGAACTGAAATTTGGGATAATTTGACATACCTAACCTATAATTTGATTAGTGTTTCTTCTTATTCTTCTTCTATTCCTTTTGCGGGCGATGTCCTTCGGGAAATTTCACCCATGATTTGATTTTTTATTAAAGAAAATATAAAAATGGAAACGTGAAGCATATTGTGTCTTCAGGAATGAACGTTTATTGTTTATTTCATACTCTTTTTACTTTGTTTTCCACAATAAAAACATCTCATTGTAGCTTGTTGACACAATTAAATGACAAATGTGATGACAAATGGAAATAGAGGTTACGTTAAATAACATCCGGTCCGCCATATTATTTGCCCAAATCGGCCAATTTTTCGGAACGTTTTTTAGGGGGCTATATCCTATCCAGTAAAATAATACAGATCAGCAGTGAGATTCCAAATCAGTGCGAAATGCGAAATCGAATGGCTTTCGATACTCGCAACCAAATACGATATCGAGAAATTTGCTATTCCTATTCGCTATCGAATTGCCCTGCGTTTTGGTCGTTTCCGAAACCTGTAGTATTCGTAGTAAGCATGCGCAATACGTATTTTAATTGTCAACAATGCCATCCAAACTGACATTGTCTTTCTAAAGGAATGGTTATGCACACAATTTAATTTAACGCAAGAGCAGCCAATAAGGTGATCACAGCCAATAGCAGGGCTTAATTCTTAAATTACGTTAAATTAAATTCGTGCATAAACCCATCATAATTACCTATAATAGTTTTGTGCTAGTTTGTTTCAATTTAACAGTTAATTATAGGTACTTACATTATTATTTTTTAAGGCAGACCTTTTACTTATATTCTCAAAATTCTCAAGAACTTCTTATATCAATGACACAGAATAATCAACAGTGACAATGCTTTAAACTGTTCAAATTTCAACTAGAAATCACAACCGCTACAAGGCTACAACCTGCAAATCGGAATTCACCAAACTGTCGAAATCGAGTATTTCGATATCGAATTGTCAATGGGAATCTGCCTGCAGTGGGTTCTAACGATAACGTAAATAGCGATGTGATTGATTATAATGTCAAAGTTGACAGGCGAGTGAAATAATCAAGGGTAATATAACGAGATCTTGATAAATAGTCGACTATTTTTAGTGTATCTAAATTTTGAGTGTTTTTGAAATAACTTTTATTTTTGGTTCATTTTGAAACGTTCCACAAGATATTAGCTTGTACTCTGAAAATAAATATACGAGTATTTGACAGTAGTCGTTATTAAATATCATACCTATATAATCAAGTATGTAAGTTACTGTCAACATAAAACAACATGAATAGTGAGATTTGAAATAGTCAGGGAAAATAGTCGATTTATTTGGTTCTGATTGGTTCTAGCGATAACGTAAATTGCCATGTGATTGGTTAAAATGTCAAAGTTGACAGGCGAGGGAAATAATTAAAGAAAGAGAAGAGAAATCCTAAATCTCAAAGAAGAATCCATGAAAAAAGAGCTAGTAGATGACAAAAACTGATTATTTTTCCTTTTATCAGAACAGCATATCAAAATGGACAAGAGAAAACCAACAAAATACTTCGCTGCCAAAAGACGTTCTCCAATAGGAATAAAATCAAGACACCAACTTTCTTTCTCAAGCGGCCAAGTATCACTTTTTGCTCTAAATACAAAAAGAACTATGTTTTTGTGTGGAAAATAATTTTTCCTACGACCACTTAGGAAAGTGACACATATCACACTACATAGTCCTATGGAAAGTGCCCTATATCACACGCGTATGAATAAGAATTTACTTTCCACCCGTGTACGAATATGCTACTTTCCGCATTAGCTGTCACAAAATGTCAAACGCGTCATTTCTATTTTGATCTATGTAATGTCCATATTTATACTAAAATCGATATGATTGTTAAATTATTGAAATTGTTGTAAATTAGATCCTAGATATTTATCTTTAACAATTATTATTAAATTAATTTTAAAATAACTAAGTTATGTTTGCCTTAAATTCTGGTTAAACACATAACGGATTAGATCCTTTAATTGACCAAGGCCTATTAGCTCAGATGGTTAGAGCATCGAACTTTATCAACTTTGCCATTTGATACCTGGCGAGCGACCGCGTTCAAATCCTTGCAGGGGCAGAATTTTTTTTGTTTTTTTTATTATTTTTTTTTTTTAGTTTTTTTTGTTTAGAAAATATGAAAATTGAATAAATACGATTATTGTTGATTATTTTTTTAAATACATTTTAATTATTATAATATTAACATGGTTTTACATTTTTTGATGAAATTATTTTGTGGTCGTAGGAAAAATATTGTACATCACTTGTGTGAAAAGTGATTTTTCACACTCGCAATGTAATATACTATAATATAAACTCACTGTCTCGACGATTAAAAGCGTACTAATGGTATGAGAAATAAGTTTTGGGTTGTACAATAAGTATACAATAGATATGCATATCAATATTTGCTTCGGAAAAATAGCAATATAAATTGCAATTTTTTCAAGTATTGACAAATACTTATTCAGAATAATAACTTCGTTGGGATCTGAAAGAAATTTGAAATAATTATTAGTAAGTGAAATAAATTTTTAGAAATTCTTACTTAACGAAATATAACTTTTAATATATTCCATTATATGTATGTATACAAATACTACTTTGGGTGTTTATTATTAAATAATAATAAAAAATGTATTTGTACCATTTCTTTTTATACTGACCTATATTTTTAAATGGTTTTATTTTAATGAATATTTTCAATATTAGACTAACTGCATTTTTATTGTCATATGCTATAGGTATATTATATCTTTATTCAATTAAAGATAATCGTTATAGTCCCTCATCTGACTGCGAAAAGTGGCATGTAGTGTTTTTTTGTTTGCTATTTATAGTTGGGTACAGGGGAGGGGGGTGAACAACATGGACTATATCCATAGAAATATTATAGAAGACCAATATAAATATAACATACAAGCAGAAATTGAAACCTACTGTACATAAAAACGCGTCTCTGCGTCTGACATCTCAAAATAGTATGTCTAGAAGCTTGCGCAGTGTGCATGACTTGTCCCTGTAGTGTTGCCAAGTATATTAAACATACCTAACACAAAAGAATTTCAAATTAGTTTATTTTTAAATTATATTTTTTTAGTCAGTTTATATCTACGAAATATCGCCACAAAATACCTTATAAACATTTAAATAATCAACTAATAATATTTATGTGTAATTACATTCCCAAAAATATATACAAATATGGTATTAATGTACAACAAGCGATTTACCTACAAATTCAATATTGACCTGGCAACACCACTTTAATCCGGTGTTTCAAGGCTTTATGACGCTGCCGTTACAGGACCGTTTGTGATATTTTGGCTTGAATTTGTATTTTATTATTTAATTACACGACATTTTATTTTTAGTTTCGTTAAATCCTAGGTACAATGAAAGACATTTTTATATTGGCTAATGAAAATGTAATCAATGTATTTAGCAGCTGTTATATTTATTGCAAGATTTATATCTGGAAATCTAAACCTATCTAAGAATTATAATTATGTAAATAGAGAGCTGTATATTTATATACAGGCTGTCCAGCGACGGGGAGACGTTATCGGTATCTGACAAAATAATGAATGATTTTTTGTTAAAAATAGTAAACAGGCTGTTCTTTCCATTTAAAATATTTTGACAGTTCTGTTATTTCCTTTTTATTTTAAATGAGATGCCACTTCTATTATTCCTGAGCGATGGAACATGAAATGTTGCTTATTTGGAATATATACCTTTACACAACGCTCATGACGTCAGAGACAGTTTCAGTCGGGTATAATTTAAAATAAAGAATTTTAAAATGAACCGTATTAAATTGTACCTGTACCTAACATTTATGACATCACTGGCTGAGTTGGCATCGGGTATATTTTCAAATGTAGAAACTGAAAATTAACCCTATTAAATTGTATACTTTTAAATGCCGGTGTCAAGGCATTTTAAAATATAAACCCGATCTCAACGAACTTAGAAACTTCTGATACTCGATATTTTAATCGTTACTTCCTCTTCGCTTTTTGGCCGGCACAACAATTATTTACATTTCTTCATTTCTTACCGCGTGCGAACCAGTACGGTTTAAAGAAATTTTAAAAAACCTACTTTAAAAATGAAGATGTTAATGATTTTCTCATGGATCCCATCTTCAGATCTTGACTTAATTTATATAGTACTATTCATTTTCTAACAAAAAGAGAATCATAGAAACCGGGCAACGTGGTAAAGAATTATCGCTCAACATACATAAAAAAATATTTCAACGAATTGAGAATATCCTCCCATTTTAAAGTATGTTAAAAAAAATTGTTAATAAAGTGCAAAGTAGGGTGATAACATATATTATGAAGAATATAAAATGATAGATAAAGCCAGTTTAGAAAGTATTATAAATAAACTGTGGAAATATCGAGAATCTCGATTTTGAATCAGAAGAAGAGTATTCTATGCAATTTAGAATGAAAACTGATCAAAATGAAACAAATGAACGACATGCTAATGTTATTGACAACTTTCTTCAAACATTTTCTAGTTTTCCGAAAACTAACTGGATAGTTCAAAAATCATTTCCGCCGTTAAAGCGCCTCTTGTTCCGAAAAAGATACACGCCTGTCAACATTCATCGTTCAACAAAAAAAGTATTAGATACAAAACGCTTCGTATTGTAAGGCCAAAATATATTTAGAAATCAAAAGAGTCATATAAACAAAAAAATCATTATAAATGAGATAACTACCAAATTAATGATTTACAAGTTTATTCTTATTATCTATAAAATAGGTTTGCAATGTGCTGATGTGGAATGTTTTCATCGCCTAAAAACTTTAAATCTTTGTATTAAATTGATCGAAAACAATCCATAAATTGGTTTAGACTTATAGAATGTTTCTAATAAGCAGCGACTAACTTTTATTATGAAACCGAAAGACCCTTTTAAAATGGTTCAAAATTAAAATAAAATATGTACCAAGTACCAAGAAATTGTAGTAGTATTTTTTAGTTTTGAATCTTGAGGGATGCAGACATATTTGGATAATTTATATTGAAAATGGTAACATGAAAGGTTTTTTGTCTAATTGTAAGTAACGACTTACAGTGTTGGCTGACAAAATGTAAAAAAATATCGAACATAATATTCCTGGGCGAAACGTAACTGCCCCCTATTTTGCACTACTCAAATTAAATTTACTTGTAGCAAATGATACTAAGTCAAATAAGATGTCAAGTCACAAGCAAAATCTCGTGACTGCAGCACTAATAATTTCTGAAAATTAACCAATTCATTTTTTATGCCATATTTTTCTTTCAGAAACATATTTATATTACTTGAATTTTTTTCATCGTTTTTTATATAGAATCATCTCTAAAAATGTATGAATAAAACATGGTTTGAACTATTTGTTCGATCAATAAAAAACTTGCACCGGTCCTGTTCGAGCCAGCACCGTTATACGCATGAGCTCCGACACACTATTTTCTCCTTACGGTTTCATTTTTGATATATGGAATCGGCTTTCTATACTATTTCTATGACTATATCCCGGTGGTGGAAGCTGTCTCGTAGGGTTGGCTGTCCCTGTCCTTTTTTGAAGCAAAATGTCCTTATGCCTTTTTAAAGCTTAAAAATCTCCTTTTTTACGGTAAATGTCTTTTTTTTACGGCAAATGTCTTTTTTCACAGCACATATCTTTGGAAGGGATATGGTTTGTACAAAAATATATAGGCTGTGGACCTTTTTTTTTAGAAGCTCGGTAGAATGACGAGGATTTTTTTTTGTTACATTAGCCCGTGTCAGCATCATTCCTTTATTCACTTTTCAAAAAGGTGGTAACTCTACTGTCTCGTAATCTGTCAAATTCGAAGTAATTCATGGATTTTTTTCGTTTTTTTGTTAACAATTAAATAATATGCTTCTAGACGTCTGCAACAATAAAAAAATCCCTTTGCAAATATTTTATGCCGTCCGATTTTGCTACTTTCGGTGAAGAGATTTCGTCCACGTGACCAGATATTTATGTTTTTCAGCGAAATTATAGAAAAATTCGTTTTACTTTAAAATAGGACTATTATTTACCCATGTTTTCTTCAAAAATTTTAATTATAAAGTAGATGTAGCGAAATGTTTTAAACGAGATTATCATAAAATATAATTTTCACTGGAAATGTTAGTTAAAAGGTCCTGCATTGTGGCCCTCGATATGTTTTTTTTTTTTAATTTGGTGTCATCGGCGTTGACTACTACGGCCATTAGCCTCGTGTTCTGTGTAGGCTTTGTTGTTACTGTTTCCCAGCGCCACTTTAGGAACAGCACTGTTAATTAGAACCCAACAGTGAATGGTCGAATGGGGAATCCTACCAAGGCATCAGAATTAATTTTAAATAATTAAATTAAATGAAAAAATCCCGGCCAACGGTGGGATTCGATCCTGAGACCTTCCGATCTCAAAGTCATGACTCTAACCACTGAGCCAACCCACCCCCCTAAGAAAACTCTATTAAAAATGAAAGTGGAGAGGTCAGAAGAAATGATACCCAGCTAGCACATAACGTTGCCAAGCCTTTCGGCGATGTTGTTTTAAGGGAACGTAATAACATTATCATATAACGTAATTGCAACGTACATGAGAAGTTATTGAGAGAAATCAAAACCTCGCGAAACATCTATTTGTTAGTTACGTTTTTAACCTGCCTGTTATGATAACACAACGTAATAAAGTAACTTGCTAAAAAAGTATCCACGAGATGTACTATATACATCATTTTGTTTTCCAACGTACCCATTCGTTTGTTATAACCAACAAAACATAAAAAAATGTCACTTGTCACATTTTCTTGTATTTATTTGAGATTTTAAAGAAATTGTAAACTATACCTTTTGTGGGATATTCAACAAATAATAATCACTAAATTCCAACAATTATTTATTATAACAACAACTACCTAACTCGATTTAAAGTACAAACGAAAACTGAAGTGGGAAAGCAAGCATTTAAAAACATTAAAATGTGTTTCCCGAAAAAACAATACAAAAAAGGGTTCTAAGAACACCTCGATACACTTCACTAACACAGTGGCGTAGCGATAATTTATTCCAATATATTACACCTTTGAATAAGTTTGGTAAGTTCTTTTCTTCTTTTCAATAAAATAGAAACATATTTTCTAATTTATTGTCTGTTCTTTTATATTGCAATATTAAATGACTGCCTATATTTTACACGATAATAGGGATCTTATTGATGTCTCAATACTATAGAAGTATCGATATTAAACAATAAAAGTATCCATATTTAGGCACTGATACTGAATTACCAATACTATCGCCATATCCATACTTAGAAGCAAGTATCGTATCGCTATGTGTGTGGTCAGGAATAATAAGGTTTGTTCAAATATTTTAGTTTTCGCA